TCTTTTCGCGGTAGGCAATCCTAGTCGCTAGTCAATAAGAGAAGAAAAGGAGGGGGTCAGCTAGACTAACCCCATATAATAATAAACCGGCTTTGGATTTAGAGCGCTTGCTCAGCTAGACACAAGTAGATGGGTAAACAAGAAGGATTGGGGGTTACTTAAAGAGCGCGCATTTCATTTCCATAACACTTTAGGTCATTTACTCACATTTTGCTAAGCATACACATTATTTAGCTACCTTTGAGCTAGTCGATTTCTTTATAAAAACGTAGAAAATGTGTCGTTTGAGGTGTTTTAACTAAATCTAAAGATTAAGATTAAAATTAGTAGATAATTTTGGTGAGGAATAATTAGTCTACCGTATTGTAAAGGCCCAAGAAATATAGCCGGAGATTACTGTAATGCTTTCGGGGAGTAATAGAATAAAGACAGAATATCTTTAAAAGCTGAATATCTTTGAATACCTTGACTGAATCTCTTTAAAGCAACCTTAAATTGGCCAATTTCTACTCTAGCCGTTCACCATTTCGTGCTATTGCCCACAAGGATTACTCTCTAGTTTCTTGGGTTCTAGTCTAAGTACAGTAGTCTAAGTACAGTAGGTTAACTACAATACTAGATACTATTTTAGCCTTGGATTGATCTAAAAAGTAACTACTAGATACCTATCTAAAGTGATCGTATATTTGGCTAATTTCTATCGTAAAGCACACTCCATTTCTAACTGTTTTAGAAAAATTTGGATTGTTTGCTACGGTAAAAAATCTTGAAAAACCACATTAAGTCAACTAAATGACTAGTGAAAAATTCGAAAAATAATTCTTTCACAAAAAAAATGAAAAATGGGAGATTTAACTCCCATCTCCCATTCCAAAACAAAACAGAAAACACTTGAAGCACCGAGATAAATTGCCCGATAAAAGCTTTTCTTCTCAAGAATCAAAAATAATGGGGGAAAGAAGCGGGCGATGCAAAACAACAAAAATTTTACAGGAAATAGAACGATCTCCACGTGGAAAGAACAACATGGGAAACAGGAAAAAGAGGGAAACATTGGCTGATCAAATGTCACTCAAATGGGGGAAATTGCAGCTCTTCGACCGATTGTAAATCAACGTGACAATTTTTTTTACGAGAAAAATGGTGAATTATTGAATGAGAGTGGTAAATGTCAAGAATTGGGAGAAGAGATTAAAGATTGGAGATGAGAAATGAACGCAGTTACATGCATAAAGAACAACTAATCACAATGGGCAACTAATCTCAACTTTTCATGGACTTTTGTTATTCATTTCGCAGAAAGTTCTCCGTAACTTTGTACTAGTTTTCAAGAGCTATTGAATGGCTATAATGAGATGAGAAATGAAAGCAGTTTATCTTTGAATTTTCGCCAAATTATCAGTAAAAGAGCAACGACTACGCGACTGTACGCTCAAAATACCGTTGTCGTGTTAAAAAACAGTTGAAATTTACTATGCAAGAGATAAAATAAGTTACGATACTGGTACTGGTAAAATTTCAAGCGCTACTCAGCTACCGTACTCCATACTTTTCGCAACTTTTCTCTTTCATTCAATGAATGAAGTTCTTGGTTGAAGTTCTTCGTTGAAGTTCTTGGTTGAAGTTCTTCGTTGAAGTTCTTCGTTGAAGTTCTTGGTTAAAGTTCTTCGTTGAAGTTCTTGGTTGAAGTTCTTGGTTAAAGTTCTTGGTTGAAGTTCTTCGTTGAAGTTCTTGGTCTCAATTCTAGGTCAGACAAAACAAAAATGAAACAACAATGAAAAATATGAAACAACAATGAAAAATATGAAACAACAATGAAAAATATGAAACAACAATGAAAAACAACAAGAAAAGAAGAAAGAAAGAAAATTGGCACTCAACTTGTGAAAGACGATCTCGGAAAAAGTTGTGGGAAGAAGAAAAGGAGAAAATTGAGGAAAAAGCAATACTAGCCGTTCAATGATTGAAAAGTGAAAAGGAAAAAGTTCAAATTTTCTCTGTTCATTTATTTATTTTGCACGGTGCGCTATGATAACCTAATCCCAAGCGTGCCATAGAGAATTAGAGCTGAGTGAGTACCACAAAAATATCGGGAAAAGATGGGCTATTGCACTCAAAAGAAATTTTGCTAAACTTTTCCAATTCCGAAACAAAGTTTAGAGTTTAGCGTTAGAAATTTGATTTTTTTGAAAACTTTGTAGCTTCATAAACTTGTTTCAAGTTAGCAATTCAAGTTAGCAATTCAAGTTATGCTTTCTAAAGGTTAACTTTTCGAGCCTGAAAGTTCTATCAAGTTCTATCATCAATTCAAAGTTAATTATATTAGGTTGAGGAAAAAGTAATGTCGGTTTTTGTCACAAAACTGTTTATTGCTAAAAACATAAACAAACGCACATCAATCAATGGGATATTCTCCAATATTATTGATGGCTTGTTCCCATCTTCGTCGCAAGTCCCTGATCCCATCCTCAAAAAATGGGGGAGTTTTCGAGCCAAAATAAATATCGACTGCTTTTTTTGATCTGTGCAGGATTCTCGAACTTTTCTCCCATAAGAGAACTCTTCAACGACCGAAACAAAAAATAATCTGATGGGGTCAGGTCCGGACTATAAGGTGCGTGGGGCAGAAGTTTCCAACCAAGCTCGTCGATTTTTTGCTTACTTTTTCCTCAACCTAATAATATTATAAGATTATTATAAAATTATAAGATAAATATAAGATTTTCAATTTAAAATCCAACTTTTCGTAAGAATATTTAAATTTATAGGCGTCTTTTCAATGATGCAAGGCTTTGTGATGCAATCGAGAAATTGCTAAGGCCCATATGGGCCATTTGAAAGAAATAGACATGATGAAATAAGAAATTGAAGTAGAAATTGAAGAAGAAATTGGGATAAACTAACAAAACATATAAATCTTTATAGAATAAACGCAAATTGAGCCATAAACCGTCAAAATCCAAATCTTTACCTAGTTATGAATGCAATTCACAAACACGCAACCGTTTATGAAAACGAAGCTGGCTCGGAGCTGACATTAGATCGATTAAATGTAAATTAGAAAAAAAAATAGATATTGTAAGAAATTAGAAACAAATTAGAAACAAATTAGAAATAAAAACAAACAAATTTTTCCTATTATAAATAAAAATGAAACATGGTCAATGCTTTTGCACCTTTTTACAACCAGTGATAAAGTAGGCGGTGCAAAAAAGTGTTTAATGATTGACCTACAGGCTAGATAATCAATCACTGAACGAATTTGATGCTCGAAATCGCCTCTAAACTTGACATTTACTGACTGATAGTGAAGAAAAGAGCAATGAAACGCTGAACAACGCTCCGCTTTCCCCACCCTGCACTCACCCTTTTTCACCGCCTTTCTCCACCCCTCCCTCATGTGGGGGTATAGCTCAGGGGTAGAGCGCTCGCTTTGCATGCGAGAAGTCAGGGGTTCGATTCCCCTTACCTCCAGAAAGTTTTTAGATTTTTTGCAAAAAACTTGGGAAAAAGTCGTGAATGAGTTTTCACCATAACTAGCAAGGAAATAAAAGATTTAAGAGCTACTATGAGTTAGTAAGAAGAACTAGATGAGATTATCTCGTTCTGGAAGGAATTTGTGAGCAGAAAACAACTCGTGGGTAGTTGAAAAGAATGGGCATTTGGGAGAGGGTTTGGATTGTGAAAAAAGCGATGAAGGATGAAAATATTTAGCCAAAGGGAAGAAGAAGGAGAAGATGAGGGGAAATTTTTGGAAAGCTGAAAAATGTGAGGCTGTTCTTGGAGGGGAGTTGAGCGAAAAAACGGAAACGCAGCAAAATTGAATAGTTTTTTCGAAAAGACAACACAAACTCCCACAGAATTCATTTTTTTTTCTTGAATTGTTTAATTCTTTGATTTTCTATTTATCAATTAGCTGATAGCATCACTTTTGTTTGTTCATTGACGGAACTGTTTTCAAGGTTTTCTTTTGCTCTTTAGCAAAACTCAGCAAAACTTGCTTACTTATTTCTTCTTTTTTCTTTTATTTTATCTTTAATTAATGATTTTAATCTTTTCAAAACCAGTTTTCTGGTAGATTTTGTTATTTAAAACTGTGTTTTTCCGGAAAAATGAAAGATGAAATTTGGCTTTTCAGAAAAATGGGAGAAAAATGAAAGATTTCCTGGTATAGCCCGCCACTTCACCCATCCAACAATTTGAATTCTTTAAATCTATGTGATTTTAATGATTATTAACTATGTGATTTTAAAATAAATTAAAATTTTTAATACATTAATTTGTTGATCGCGTTTTGTGAAAGGTACTTTTGAAGCAAATGTGAAGAGTCGTTAGCTTTCAAATGTATGTCGTATTTTCGCTTCACCTAAATTGCTCGAAATCTCGAAAAGCGCTTATAAGAACCGATCGATGTGGGGTCGGAAAATATAGCTGACGATGAGATCTTGCGGGGGATTTGGGTGTTGAGCTTCTGCGAAAACTTGGGAACTATAAAATAATCATCAACTCGGCTCGGCCGGACCGAGGGAGAGAGGGCAATACTATTAGAGAGAATACAGAATACCGTATTCTCTCTAATAGTAGTGCACCCAGAGCGTCACCTAAATTGCTCGAAATCTCGAGAACCGGTTATCAGAACCTATCGATGTGGGGTCGAAAAATGTAGCTGACGATGAGATCTTGCGGGGATTAGAGTGTTGAGCTTCTGCGAAAACTTGGGAACTGTAAAATAGTCACCAACTCGGCTCGACCGGGGCACTACTATTAGAGAGAATACGGTAATCCCAATTCCCAATTTTCATTGTTTCCTTTGTGTTTTTCTTTCTTCTTTTCGTTATCAACCAAGCGACGCGAGTTGAGTGTGCACTTTTAGGATAAAAAGCTCTCCGTTTCTCTAAAAAAAAAGCCATTTTATCCCTCGCTTCTCACTCAAAAAAGAGATTTCACCTGGTTCCTGGCTAAATATTTGTCTGCTTTTGTCTGCTCAAGTTATTCCATCAATGTCTTCCCGTTACAAGCTCACTTATTTCTATTTTCGGGCAAAAGGTGACTTTGAGGTTTTGAATGACTTTAAAAAAAGTTTTAGTTATGTTTTAATGTTTATTGTTTAATGTTCAATTCGATTCCAGGTGAAAACATCCGTCAAATCTTGACTCTAGCTGGCGTCGAGTTCGAGGATGTGAGAGTGCATTGGGACAAGTGGCAACAAATCAAGAATGGTAAATGAATTCCGTAATTACTGTAATTACTGTAATTATTGTAATTATTCGAATCAAATACACAAATGATGAAGCACTGAAAGCGGGGGTGGGACAAATGCGACCTTTTTTTGCGCACCTGGACATTTGCGCACCTTTTTTTTTGCTGGAAAAGGCCTTAGGAAAGCTCGTAGAGCTTCGAAAATGTTTTCATAGGAGGGAATCGTATGCGTAGATTCCGAATTTCGACAAATCAGACCTCGCTGACACGTCAAATTTGGGCTAAAAGGCAAAAACTGCGGAAAAGCGTTAAGTTGCGTAGTTTTTGCCTTTTAGCCTAAATTTGACGTGTCAGCGAGGTCTGATTTGTCGAAATTCGGAATCTACGCATACGATTCCCTTATATGGAAATATTTTCGAAGCTCTACGACCTTTCCTAAGGCCTTTTCCAGCAAAAAAAAGGTGCGCAAATGTCCAGGTGCGCAAAAAAAGGTCGCATTTGTCCCACCCCCCTGAAAGCCAAAAAAGTTACACTAAATCGCGAGTTTTCAAGTGAAATCTCTAAAATTTTACCACAAAATGCACATTTCATAGAAACAATTATAGAAAGAAACAAAATTTGAATTCTCTTTACTTATCACTAAGTCTATCAATTAGAACAAAGCTGGATTTAATCAGAGCAACCATTCAGAGCAACCAACCAGCTACCATCTTTCAGAGCAACCATTCGGCCAATTACCCGTTTTCGAAGAGGACGGCAAATGTCTTCCCCAATCGAAAGCCATTTGTCGATATCTAGCTAAAAAGTACGGTAAGTGAGTAAAGTTATGAAAAAGCTATAGTTTCCAGGGTTGGCCGGGGAAAACGAATGGGAAGCGGCTCAAATTGACGCGCTCTCCGATCAATTTGAGGATTTTTTCCAAGAGATTCGACCATTTTACAAAACCTACAATAAGCTGATTGAGGGGAATTTGGTAAAAAAGTGATCAAATATCTAAATAGCTTTCATTTCTAGAATGATGTCTATGATAAAATCGTGGAACCAGCCCGGGACAAGCATTTACCCATTTTCTCCAAGTATTTGGCCGAAAGCTCGAGTGGATTTCTGGTGTGGTTTGATAGGGAATTTGGTTTTGCTGGTTTTTGTGCTGAAAATTTGATTTTAAACTTATATGCATTTTATTGCTTTATTTTATTGCTTAAAACTGATGATCCTCGTTTACTGTTGGTCTATGAAGGGAATCTTGGTGTGTTCTGTTCTTCTTGAAATTCTCTTCAATTGAATTCGTTCTGATTGTTATTATTTCCTAAGTATTTATAGCCAAAAAATAGCCAATTATCCACAGAATTTAAATCATATTAAAGTTTTTAAAGAACTTCTTTAGCTTTTGAGTTATCACAATTTGCGTGAGCTCTGTGCCCTCACCAGTTATTTGTATTAACAGTACAAGAAAATTTGTCAAACTTAGAACTCAGACGATTAGGAGTATTCAAAAATCTTGTTTATCAGTTCTAAACTGGAAATACAACAAAAGTTCTCAATAAGTTTGTCATTTTTCTAGAAATTTTGCAATAAAAAAAGCGCAAAAAGAAGTGCGACCAGAGATTTTTTTTGAAGAGCATTGAATAGCGATAACTCAAAATCTAGAGAAATTATTTAAAAACTGAAATAAGATTTCAATTCTGTAAAAGATCAGCTATCTTTTGGCTATAAACACTTATGAAATAAAATCGATTAGGAAGCTTTTAGAGGATTCTAAAAAGGACACAACTTTCGCTGAACTTTCGCCAAACTTTCGCCGAGTGTTTGTGGAGCTCTCTAGCGCCCTTGATTCCTATTTTTTTTTGCATAAATCAAGAATATTTTAAAAGAAAGCTTATAACTATGAAATGTTTGAATAATTAAACTCTAGGTTGGCTCAAAATTGTCATGGATTGACACTCAACTTGCCGATCACATGTACACGTTTACCGAGTTTCGACCCGACTACGCTCGAAGATATCCACAGGTTTATTTAAAAGATTTCTAGAATTACATTATACAGGGTGCGTCATAATTATTGCAACAAGATACTCAAGGCATTGCACACCAAGAAGTTTCACTGGAAGAAGCTTTTTAAACAGAAATAGCTTTATTTAACAGTAACAAATAAGGAAACAAGAGATCATTCGATATGACCGCCTTTTGCCTTGATAACAGCCCTTAATCGGTTCGGATATGCCTCCACTGCGGCCCGAATGTCATCTTGAGGAGTCGCCTTCCATCCTTTGGTCAAAGACTTCTTCAAGGTCAAAGACTTCTTCAAGGTCAAAGACTTCTTCAAGGTCAAAGACTTCTTCAAGGTCAAAGAGCAGACATTAGCCTCTAAGATTGCCCAAATGGAAAAATCCATCACATTGAGATCCGGTAAGTTTGGAGGCCATTCATCCTTGGTGATCACTGAGGGAAAGTTGGCCACACACCAGTCCTGAACCGTCTTCTTCGTGTGAGCGGGAGGCAATTAGGCAAGAATAAAGAAGATAGAACGCAACACAACAAAAAAAGGGGGCAAAAAAAATAAGAAAACTGTTTGGAAAACGGTCTTTGAACTCTTGTTGCAATAATTATGACGCACCCTGTAAAGCTAGTTTCTTGATTTCAATATCAATAGCTATTAGATAGTTTAAAAGATTGTAAAAGAAAAAGAAACGCTTTGTTTTTAGATTGAGTACCATCAAAAGCGGGTTCATTCAATCCCCCGGCTACGCGAATGGATCGAGAATCGACCGCATTCTGTGATTTGATTTTAAAAGAGTTTTTACTACGAGAAAATAGTATTTTTCATCTAGAAATTGCAATAAATATCCAGAAAAATCCAGACGCACAAATCACAAAAACGCATAGAATTTCCGTGAACAAACATTGGGTTCTTTTTTGGCTCAAAAATCGATTTCCTTTCCGTTTACTGGTCGAAAAAAAGGGAAAAAAGACTAGTTTTTTTTTGCTGAAATCACATAAAATGACACTAATATTGTGCTTTTTCTAGTTTTTGCTCAATTTTTGAGTTTTTTTGTATAAAGAGCCCCGTTTTTCAAGGTTTGTCGTTTACTTTGAAAGTTTTCAAATGAATTTTTTGCCTTACTCAATTGTATCTTAAACAAAACATATTTTTTGTTCTATTTTTTGCAAAACTGTTTGAATTCTTGAGTTAATTAATCTAATTATAAGATTTTTATAGTTTTTTTTTTGTCAAATATGGTTCACTACAAGCTTGTTTACTTTCCCGCGAAAGGACTCGGTGAGTGAAGAGAGTTGATATTATATTGGGTTGGTGAATTGAAAACTGCCGGCTATTGTCATATGTGACAGTTTGAGCACTTTCTTCAAAGAAACCCATTTTGGTGTCAATGGAAAAGTTGTAGAGAATCAAAAATCAAGCTTATATCCAAATTTTCAGAACGATTCAAAAACTGGTTTTCAAGAAATGCCAAATTTACGAATTTTCACAAAACTTGCATTTTAAGCGAAACTACTAAGTGTATCTTTTTGCAAATTTGGCTATAAGCCTAATTTTTGATTCTCTACAACTTTTCTATTGACACCAAAATGGGTTTCTTTTAGAGAAAGTGCTCAAACTGGGACATCTCCAGTCCTCGATTTTTGAGTCTCACACTGGTCTCACACACAAACCAAAATCCTACTACGAAAAAGGAACCCGCAAATTGCCTGTAAAATGGGCAGAAGTCGTCAATAATAATGGAAATTATTTGGAATGAATTCATGGTTTTATGTTCAATAAATTTTAATTCAAAGTCCCGCAGTTTTCAATTCACCAACCTAATACTATAAAATATAACTTTACCTTTATAACTTATTTTCTATGTATATCTAATCTACTTTATTTAATCTAAACTACGTAAACAAATCTAGCTTATCTTTCAATGAGTTTATGAAATGACTTATGAATGAGATTGTGGGACAGACGAGCCTCACCCCTTTTCCCTTTGACAATCTAACTTTGAGCTGAAATTTCTTGGTGTTGGGCTGTTCAATTGAAATATTTTTTTATACCAATCGACAAAAAAAGAATTAACGCATCTAATAATACCTAGAATTTATAAATTGGACAACCCAACACCAAGAAATTTGAGCTCAAAGTTAGCTTGCTAATGGGAAAATGGGTGGATGGCTGATAACCTATACCGTATTTTCTGTAATAGTAGTGCGCATTACTATTTTTTTCAATCCCCCTCCTGCCTGCACTACTATTATAGACTGCACTACTATTACAGACTGCACTACTATTACAGAAAATACGGTATATGACGTGCAAAAACGTTTGATTTATACCATACTTTTATGAGGATGATTTTTATTTTTGAATATATTGAATAAACAGTATTTGAATGGCTAAGGAAGCTAAGCTAACTAAAAATAGGTGATGAATTTCTTTAAACCCATTTCTCTCAGCCGAAACACCCCGTCAACTCTTCGCATTGGCTGGTGTCGATTACGAAGATGTACGGATTCCGAAAGAAGAATGGCCACAGCATAAACCAAGTAGGATTGGATAAAGCTAAAGATTACAATAGCTTTTGAAAATAGACACGTTTTAGAAAACGCATTATCAATATCAATATCAATATCAATATCAATAATATCGAACTACTAGATCCCGGTTTAGATGCCCCATTTGGCACAGCTCCATGGCTGGAAGTTGATGGGAAGAAATTGGCCCAATCAAGAGCAATTAATCGTTACTTGGGCAAGAAATTCGGTGACAAAGCCAAATATTAAAAAAAAAAAAAACAAAGATTTAGGTTATGCCGGTAAAGATGACTTTGAGTCGGCTCAAATCGATGCTTGGGGTGATCAATTTAGCGACTACATCGTTGACATCAGAACGTATCTCCCGGTGGCTGCTGGGATGGCTGAAGGAGATAAAGAGAAATTGTACAAAGAAGTCGTTGAACCGGCTAGGGAGAAATTCTTCCCGTTGGTGGTGAAACGACTTAGCGAGAACGAAGCTGGGTTTTTGGTGAGCCTTTTAATTAGTACTGGTTGAATCTGAACTGGTCTACCGTAAGAGTACCGGGGCTAGCTATTCCAGATCAGATCAGGTCCAAACGTTTCATAGAACGAGGATAGATCAGTTCAGTACCCAGTTTAGCCTAACTTCTGACCGAATACCTTATCTGGACTGGTTCAAAACATTTTTCAAAGCCAGATCATGTAAGCCATTCCTGGCTGGGTTCTGATCTGATTTAAACGGATTGAATTTTTGTAGTGATGCTCATGATACCAAATTGCTCATGATTCTATCATCCAGTGTGGGGAATTGAGCTGAAATCCTGTCGGATTTTGGGTCTTAAACTTTGAGGCCAGATATCTTGCGATACAGAGCTCAATTGGGGAAAACTAAAAGCGGATTCAGAATCCCCATTCAAATTTCTATTAAATAAACAAGATGTGCATCAAAACAATGCATCAAAGCTGATATGCATCAAAGCTGATGTGCATCAAATCAATGCATCAAAGCTGATGCCTTTCCCTAGTGAGAGTTGTTTGGAACATCTTAAAAACAAAGCTAAGCAATCTCGAACTTAAGTTGAATCTGATTTGAGTACCTATATCATCAAAAATCCATTCTCCTCCAGGTTGGCGATAAACTCTCGTGGGCGGATCTCTTTTTCGCGAATCATCTCGAGTATTTTGTCACCGGTGGCTTCAATTCTTCAGATTATTTAGATAAATATCCAGAGGTATGCTAGAGAAGCTAAAATATTAAAATGATTGTTTTTAATGTTTAATTTAGCTGCTTGCTTATCAAAAACGAATTCACAACATCCCGGAGATCAAGAAATGGATCGAGAAACGCCCACAAACTGCACTTTAAAGAAATTTTTAAATGATTTGATTGTTATATTTTTTTTAGATATTTTGATATCTTTCAAAGCTATATATTTTTGAAAGATTGCATTTTTAATAGCCTCAAAAGCTTTCATAGAACTTTCAATTGTTATAATTGATTAATAAACAATTCACAAATGAAGACGATAAGCTGAAAATGAATATTTGATCTTTTGAGTGTATAAAAGAAACAAAATTGAATTGAAAGCATTAGTAGTTCATCTTTCAATTTAATCTAAAGTATTCAGTTTTATGTCTACGTTATTTTTTCTTTACCGTAATAAAAGTCTTCAAGATTTTCTGCTGTATTTATTTTATTCGATTGTTGAGTCACAATCGAATCCAGAGAAAGATCCCTTGTTGTGGTTGCTGGGTTGCTCGAGTTTGTTGGCAGCGTTTAAATCATTTACAATAGTTCTTTTGTTTTGTTGTCTATTAGAAAAAGCATGCTTGAAACAAGCTTAAAAATGCTTCAGTTCTGGTTGGATGACAATCAACTTGCAAGCTTCTCAATCCTATCATAAAAGTTATTTTTTTAGCTGACACCTGAAAGTCATCAATAGCTCTTACTCGTGGAATTTGAACGCTTTGATTATCTTTTTGTTTTCACCTGTGAATTTTGTTAGATACTTATATTCAGATATTAAAGGCGATTTAGCAATCGATGTCAATCAGTTTTGTAAGAATACGATATAAAAACTACAGGATGACCACGAATTATGGTAACACCTCAATGAGGAATTAAAAGGCTCAAACAATGATATAAAAATCTTGTTGATTAGATGTAAACAAACAGTTTGACTACGATAGTTCTCTCCAATAGATCTCTTTTAGACGCATTATTCGAGTGAAGAGGAGCACACTTTAATCCCCATATTCTAGGCAATTTTGTGAAGACATCGATCTTGTTTGCAACGTGAATTCACGAGGAAAATATTCAAGCTATTGATATTGATCAAGAATCTACGCTTTTGAGCGGTTTTGGTAGATGTTAAGCTGAGTTTTCACGCGTAGAGTTAGCAAAAATGAATTTGTAAGCAACTAATCAATTTTTACCCTTTTCTGGTTAAATCTTTTTCACTTTTTTTTGAGGCTTTGCTCAGAGACAAAATAATTGATACCCCAATTTTTTTCGCTTTTGCATTGTCATGGCAACAAAATAATTGAAAGCAGCTAAAAAAGGGGCGAAGTTTGGAGAGAGAATTGTACTCAACAATGCAAAAAAAAAATAGTTTTAGAATTTTGAGACAACAACTTTTGAAAGAGTAAAGGTCAATTTCTCTAGAAATTTTCAGAAAAAGAAAATTTCTAGAAATTACAACTTACAGTTCTCAGTTTTCCCAGTACTATAGATACTATGGATACTATAGAATTTAGAACTATAGTACTATTGATCTGGGTTGTTCCGAAGGTATTTTTTCGGATAAGCAGACCGAGCTATTACCTGGCTTCTTTCTGGTTAGGTTCTACTGAAGAATTGGACAAATCTGGTCTACAATAATTCCTGGACCTAGCTTCTGATCAGGTTTTGATTTGTCTTGGCCTAGTCTTTCAAAGAAAAATACAAGTACAAGTACAATTTTAAATTTAACTTTTCGCTTGGCCTGGCTAAGCACACATCTTTCGTAGACTAGCTTTTTGTTTTACTAATCTCATTTGTTTTTCTTCATTTGTTGTTTTTCATTTGTTTTCTTAATCTAATCTATTATAGATATAATATATCTCTAGAGATTGTTCTAGAACCGCTTGAAACGCTTTCTAGGTAACCATTATCATCATAAGAATTAAACATGATGACGAATGTAACAGAGCACAATTTTCAGAAAACTCCTATAGAGATGGGAAAAACGGGAGAAGAAAGGGGCGGTGCATTGACAAGAAAAAGAGAAAA